CCTATTCTAGGGCTGACGTCAGTACACGTCAGCCTTCTGATCAAGCACAGGTGTTCAGAAATCCACGAGCTATAACTCGAGCTTTTATTTCCAGTCTCTTTGCATCATATCCTCGAGCATATCTTCGAGCATATATGCACGGGGGCCTATGATGGTGACGTTTTCCAATATCCCCGATCAGTATATCCCAAGGACTAATTTTGATAAAGTTGTAAATTCATCTACGGTGTCCTCGAGCATGTTCATCCTCGAGACACTAGGCCCGACCACATCTCCATGCTGCTTTGCATATTGCAAACATATGTCCTCGGGCATAGTCCTCGGGAATGTGCTCCCCCTCACTACTGACGATTGTTAACCCTTTAGAATTCCTACGCAATTAGGAATCTTAACTCCCACAAGAATCCTATCTCACGTATAATTCTGGAATTCAACCAACTCCTTAACCATTCAGGACTCCAACAGATGAGGACATCCAGCTAGTTGAGTCCAATTAGGAGAATGTCACTTACTACTATAAATACAGAACCTTGTTCAGGTAGGTTTTTACATTGTTCTTCAGCACATAGCCTCACGCTTATATTTCCCTTTCTGACTTAAGCATCTGAGGGGCGACGAGAACACACCTCGTTGCCTTTGTTTCAGGTATCGGAAGATCACGTTCGTGCTCCTTATCAGTCATCAAGCTCGAAAAATCTGCAGGTACGATTTTTGGTAGCATCAATGACTTTATCCCAATGGTTCACGTGCATTACTACAAAAGTTGGCTCGGCCCAGATGGTCGTGCTGGAAACTCACTTACCTGAGCCCTTGATCGGGTTGGGTGGATAAAATTTTGGGAAAATTGCAGCTGTGATCTCTAAAACATAATCCAAATCGAGAAGTTGTGTTGTATGCCCTAGCCGCATCTTCAGCAAATTCAAACATACCTGGCCAAATTCATTCGCCTCCATTTGTCTTGTTAGCGTGTGATGGGTGGCTATGACCGACGGTGGTATCGACGTTGCTGATGGTTGAGGAAAATGGAATAGGGAGTAGACAGAGGAAATAGTGGCATTGGCCGGTTGACCGGGCCATTTTTTCAAATAGGCCTTTGACTAGTTAAAAAAAAAAAGGCAAAAAAATGTTTAAAATCTTGAAAATCAACAAAAATCAAGAGAAACCTAAATTTATCCTTACCATTTGAAGACGAAAGAGAAAACAGTAAGGAAAGTGAAAAATTACTGTAGCACCGTTGACCCAGGCACCGACAAAAAAGGAAAAACAGGAAACCTAGTTGGTCATTTCTCTCTGAAGAAGGTAAGATTTTTATATCAAGAAAAATCATGTTTTTATTTTAATTTTTGGAAAAAAAGCATGATTTTATATATGTGTTGAGAAATCCTTGTGTAAATGTGGAATTTGGGTAAACATATTTTTTGGGAGGGGAAAAATGGAGTGGAGATCGTCAGAAATGGAGTTTTCCGGCGATCTCCATGTTTTACTATGGCTGGGCCGGCTGGGCTCGTCGTCTGGGAGCTAGGTGCCCCAGTCAACTAGGCACCCAGTTGACTGGGGCTCCTGGGCCGCCCGTTACCCAGACAATTCTTTTATTATTTATTTCTCGTAATTATTGAAGTTAATTAAATAATTATTAATTGCTTATATTGTGTTCTCTAATATTTAATTATTTATTTGAATTGTTTAATTTTAATGTATATTATGCATTTAAAATTTTTTCTTTGTATAAATGTTTTATTATTTATCTAAATATTTATTATTTGCTAATTTAGTTTAATTAATTATTTTATATTAAGTAATAGTAAAATAATTAAAAGAAATAATTACATATTAAATAAGTAATATACATAAAAAATTTAAATAAATATTTAAACATTTGTAAAATATTAAAATTAAGCAATTAAATTTGAAAAATAAAATATAAATAAAATTAATTTTTTGCAAAGAAATTAAAATAAATTTGTAAATATGAAATAAGCATTATACGTAAAGAATTAAAATAAGTATTTAAACATTCATTAAAAATAAAAAACTAAACTAAGTTTTAGAAAAATAATTAAAATAAGCAATTAAAATATTAAAATAAACGATCAAAATAAGTGTTAGTAAAATAATTAAAAGAAATAATTAAATATTAAAATAAATTTGTAAATATGAAATAAGCATTATGAGTAAAGAATTGAAATAACTATTTAAACATTCATTAAAAATAAAAAAAACTAAAGTAAGTGTTAGAAAAATAATTAAAATAAGCAATTAAAATATCAAAATAAGTGTTAGTAAAATAATTAAAAGAAATAATTAAATATTAAATAAGTAATATATATAAAGAATTTAAATACATATTTAAAAATTTGTAAAATAGTAAAAATAAGCAATTAAATTTGAAAATTAAAATATCAATCAAATTAATTTTTTGAAAAGTAATTAAAATAAATTTGTAAATATGAAATAATCATTATGTGTAAAGAATTAAAATAAGTATTTAAAAATTCATTAAAAATAAAAAAAGTAAATTAAGTGTTAGAAAAATAATTAAAATAAGCAATTAAAATAAACTATCAAAAGAAGTGTTAGTAAAATAATTAAAATAAATAATTAAATGTTAAATAAGTAATATACATAAAGAATTTAAATAAATATGTAAACATTTGTAAAATAACAAAAACAAACAATTAAATTAGGAAATGAAAATGTCAATCAAATTAATTTTTTGTGAAGCAATTAAAATAAAATTTTAAATATGAAGTAAGCAATATGCGTAAAGAATTAAAATAAGTATTTAAACATTAATTAATAATTAATAATTAAATTATGTGTTAGGAAAATAATTAAAATAAGCAATTAACATATTAAAATAAACGATCAAAATACGTGTTAGTGAAATAATTAAAAGAAATAATTAAATATTAAATAAGTAATATCAATCAAATTAGCAAATTAAGTATATGAAAAATAGTAATTTACGTTCATTTTGTTTATTCCGTTATCGGTTTGTTATTGCATATAGTAGCAGTGTGTTAGTATATTTTTGTTTATCAATTACCTATCAACAAAAATTTTTGTTTATCGGACATCATTTGCACAGGGTTCTAATATTTGAAATTTTGTAGGATGGAATATCATCTGGACGACGCTGTAAAGTTACGTCGAATTGTAACCTTACTAACTTCACTTTGGTATTAGATTTGCTGGAGACGAGCACGCGGACATATTACGTCGATCATGCTTATGACCATTGTATTCGTTGTGTCATGTACAGTGGTCTGAGCAGCTGCTCGATGCCCTGCTATGTCGGTTGCTGAAGTCAGTTGACGGAAACGCCCTCCATTTTGATCTTGGGGGCAATGTAGCGACATTCTCCATATTTGAGTTTGCCCTTGTCACTGGACTGCGATGTACGGATGAAGAAGAGGCGAGGGCCTGTGTTCCGAGGAACAGGAGGTTGTTGAATGAATATTTTTGTGGACAGAAGACAGTTACTCTAACACAATTGGGAGATGCATTAAGGAGATGTGATCATATGTCTGATAGGCTGAAGTTGGGCTTGGTGCTTATCATCGAGAGCGTACTCCGATGTCATCATAAGAAGACATCGATTGATATTTTCCATTTGGAGGTTGTTGATGATATTGATGCCTTCAATAACTACTCCAGGGGTCGAATATGTTTTCTAAATACATTACGTGTGTTGAGGAGGGGATTTTCGATGCCAAAGGGGGATAAGCCCAAGCGCAAGTACGATGTATGTGGACTGCCGTTGGCGCTGCAGGTATATTTTTAAGTTAATGAATTACCTACACTTTTTTATTGAATTCTATACATAATAATTGTAATGACTGCAGATATGGGTATACGAGACTGTCCCCATCTTGGCCATTCGGTATGCGAGGAGAGTTGAGACACGTTGTTCTCGGATACATCACTGGCGAGCACAAGACAAGCCGCTTGCCAGATAGTTATCGGCTCTCCTCGACGATCCTGAGGTACGTATTATACAATTGCTATTTATGTTGTATGTCCTTTTACAATCTCAATACATAGTCATTAACTGTGAAATGTCAAAATGTCAGCTTGAAGTTCTCACTGAATTGACACCGTCGATCGAGGAGGAGAGTCAGCTTTATATTCGTAAATTGCCTGTTAGGACTGCACATGACGATCAGATGCCTGAGTCCAGGTTGGATCAAGATAGGGTATGTTACTGTACAGGATTTGTTGAATATCGCTTTGATCTTGTAATTAAGTGCTTCACTTGTAATATTTATTTTTTCAGGAGGGTCGTTCAGTACTACCTCTGTCGAGGATGTCACCTCCATCGAGGAGATCACGTCTAGCGAGGATGTCACCTCCACCAAAAAGATCACGTCCGGCTACACTAGAGGTTCAAAAGCCTGAATCCAGCGTTGATCGAGATAGAGTATGTTACCTAAAAATAATTTTTCCATTGTCGTTTTAATTTATTTGTTAGGTTATTCATTTGTAATAGTTATTTTTTCAGGAGGGCCGTCCAGTATCACCTCCTACACCTAGTCACCGTGCTTCGACGATTGATTTGTTCGAACCCCTGATGGAGATGAGAGGAGACATGACAGAGTTACGGGATAATGTCGTGACACTACGAGCTGAGTTCGGGGACATGACAGAGTTAGATATGATGTCACAATGTTACGAGCTGGGTTAGGAGACCTTCATGCTGAGGTTGTAGCTATACGGGGCGACATAGCAGGCCTGCGTGGGACGGACGATTATCGAGATGGAGGAGCTAGGGGAGGGATAGGTCACTATTGGGACGGAGGGGGTGATGGAGGGACTGGTGGCTATCGGGACGAAGGGACTGGCGGCTATTAGGACGGAGGGAGTGACGGAGGGACTGGTGGCTATCGGGATGGAGGGGGTGACGGAGGGGTCGGTGGTTATCAGGGAGAGGGGGTCAGATGGGGTATATTGACTCATTGTAGCCATCAGTTGCTACATTTGATTCATTTTTAAATGACACGATGGGGATGAAGGAGAGAGAGGGGATACCTGTGGTGGAGGGAGTACCCGATGAGGAGGGGGTACCCGTGCAGGGGATACTCGAGGACATCGAGGGGGTACTGGAGGAGGAGAGGGTACCGGAGGTAGAGGTGGTACCCGAGATGACATCACCTGAGGCAGAGGGGATACCCAAGGAGGTGAAGGTGCCTGTGCAGGGAATACCCGGGGATGTCGAGGGGGTACCGGAGGTGGAGGTGGTACCCGAGAGGACGCCAGACTCATCGGACGTAGTCTTTGTGTCGGAGGAGGTGGTCCCGATAGCGGGTGAGGGGATCATCCCGATGGATGAGGAGAGGACGCGTGCTATTAACGTGTTGGAGCGGGTGGTCGGTAAGAGGCCAAAGGTGCCATCCCAGTACGCCGTTTCTCCCTTTACCGTGGAGGTGAAGAGGAGAAGGTTCGTCGACGGGACACACCCAAATTTATTCAAGGAGGTGGACCACGCCAAGTGGAAAGCCTTCGAGACGGAGTGGAGAGTAATAAAGCCTGGGTAAGTTTTGTATTTTATAGAATTAGTATAGTACTCAGACGCTGACACATGTATACTTCTTGTAACTAAAAAATTTGTTCTTATTTTTCCAGGGCCAGCTGCACGATTGCTCAGAAGACGATTTCAAATTTTTACAAGTGGTACTACGACATCACCACTTCGAGGGCTTGGCTCACCGTCAATGTAAGCGAAATGAATGTATTGTTATTTATTATGTATGTTCAAAATCAATTTTTTGAATCAAATTCATAGATTAACTCCTTTCTTTATTGGTGTTTCTTAATGTAGCACATCGACTTGGCCATGGATTTGCTACGAGATCGAGCTGAAAGATATCCAAAATCGTTTAACATTCCTGACAGACTCATATTGAACACCGAGTTCATCCGTGCCGTTGACATTGAGTACCAGTCGTTCCAAGCTATGGGTAACGAGTACACGGTGCCGGCATATATGATGGAGTGGGTCGTAGAGATGTGGCCCAATGTTGGAGGAAAGCCGTGGGAGGGCTGTACACATATGTACATGCCAGTATGTGTGAATCATCACTACATTGCAGTGAAGATCGTATTTGCCGACTCCACTATGTATGTGTACGACCCCGATCATTTATCCTTGACACAAGGTCAACTCGAGCGAAATCTGGAGTCGGTGTCTGTGATCATTCCCATAATGGCTAGACGAGCGAACATCACTGTGCAGGACAGATTGGCTACCGTGCGTAACACGACGACGACGAGGCAGCGAATATTGTAAGTGTTTGTAATTTTATTTTGTTATTTACATCTTAGGTTCTAACTAGTTTTGATGTGCTAATACAATATTGTTTAATTGTAGGGGTGATTGCGGCATGTTCGTCATCAAGTACATAGAATTTTTGAGTGTAGCATAGAAGGTTGATGCAATCAACCAGGCACTGATACAAAATTGGAGAAATAAATTAGCATGTGATTTATTTGAATTTAATGGGGATTCGTAAATAATTGTACATTTATTTAAATATTGTACATTTCATTCATTCATTTGTAATTACGAAAGAATTGTAAAATGTTAATTATTTATGTAATATTTAAATATTTATTTTACAATTTATGTGTTTATTTATAATATTTGTGTGTATTTTGGATAACGCAGTGTCTAAAAAAAAATTCGAATACTACGATTTCAAATAATTAATATAAATAATATGCAAAAATAATGTGTGTAACAAATTAAAGTAATGAATGAAATGTTTAAAAAAAACTAAATCTAATAATTAACATGAATAATATGCATAAATAATTAACGTCAACGTTATAAATAATTACATGGCCAATAGTTATTAAAATTACACATCCGTTACATTGTCATGCAGACGAATCTAACTTGTACAATATCTTCTAGTATGCTTTGTTGCACCGCACCTACCGCACTTACGAGTCTAGGAAAACTCTCCGATAAATGGTATTCTAGACGTACGTGGTCCAACTGCTAGTGGCAACAAGTTATTCAGTGGGAGAATGTGGTTGAAAACTTCCCACTCGACTTCATTTGGTACAGGAAATATTGTTTCCGCATACGATGCTCTCCAATAATCAGTCATGTAATACACACTGCATAAGGTGTGTGGTGAAAATCCTCTATGCATAGCCACTGCCACTGCATGTGTACATGGAAAATTCTCCAACTGAAACTGTCTACACGTGCACGTGTTATCATTCAAGTCTACGATATATCTGAAATTACGTGTACATCTCACGGAGAAGCGAAACTGATCCAGTGGTTCTACATATACCTTTCTCGCCATATCTAGAGTCTTGAAGAGCTTATCTTCCTGATCCGGAGTTAGCACACTTGCATAACTCTGTGATTTTTCACGTTGATCATGAAACCACTTTTGTAGTTTGTCACGAATGTTCTCAATCATTGTGAGAATTTGTAACTCTCGATCTTTCTTGAATAAAGCGTTCAGAAACTCTGCATTGTTCGACGTCATCATATTGTATCGACGTCCTGAAAAATGTGATCGTGCCCAATGTTCAATCCCCATCTCTGTTAAACACTCTCATGCAGCATGTAATTTACTGTCTATTTCGACCATGAACTTCTCAAACTCTTCAAAATTGTAAATCTCTGCAGCTCTCCTAAACAACGCAACGATGCCCTTGTCTTGATACCTGGTCTTCAGGTTTTCCTGTATAAACATGATGTGTCTTAGGAAAGACTTCGGCGATACCACTTATTATTGACTGCCCTCGATCAGTTACGAATGCAAGATTTTCGACATCCCCAATCACTTCCCTCAATTTCGTGAAAAACCAACTCATCGCCACATCATTTTCTCCATCGACTATGCCGAACGCAAGAGGATAAATTTGAATGTTCGCATCTTGGCATGTTGCAATAATCAACTTGCCCCCGTATCTCGCCTTAAGGGTTGTACCGTTGACTAAGATTAGGGGTCGCACTGCGTTTCGAAATCTTCGAACACATTGTCCAAGGGCTATAAAGAAATATTTGAAGCGATTATCGTCATCCTTCTTAATAAAAAATACCGACCCAATATTAATTCTTCCCATGTTATAACAATACCTGGCCAATGTAAATAAAAATAATCATAATTTAGATAATCTATTAAATATTAAATGAACATAAAAATTAACAATTCAATTAAATAATTAATTACATATAAATAAACAATTGAAATAAAAAAAATTAAAAATTAAAATAACAAAGAAATAGACACCTAAACAATGAAGTAACTTTCCTCAGTCGAACCCATCAAATCCTCCAATGCATATTCTTTAGCCTTCTAAGTCTTTTGATAACTCTTGACCACCTCGTACTCTTGTCGAACGTCATTAATGATGTTCGAAGGTCTGTTGATCGTTCGTGGGTCCTGGAACTTGTGCATTATTTCTCGACCAATGAACCATGATCGGGCCTGCCTATGATCATTTCGACGAATACCCACTTCTCAAGTATGTTCCTGTGCATACTTACAGACTACAAAGAACTCATTTGTATCCATCTTAGTCCCTCGCAAACTCCAATGGCAACTGTCATCAACGCAGATAATTGTGTACGTCGACTTGTTTGATTTCTTCACTATAAACTCGAAGTTATGCTTTAAAGCAATCCGGTGCACAGCTTCTAGCAATTCTTTCTTTGATTCGAATAGTTACTTGACATATTCATCTTCATCATTGGGAACTATATGCGAACAATTAGAGGATCGTGTACTCGATCCGGCCTGTGAGCTCCCACCCGACTCATGTCTCCTACGGCATAAAGCAATCAAATTCTCATTTGTAAATGCGTTTTCATTCTCGTGGTCTTCAACTATCGATGGAATTCTGTGCATAACAATGTGATCATGGTGAGTAGCAGTGGTCTCGGGAGTAACCACATCATCTTTATGAACAATCTGAATTGTATCCCAAACATCATTTACATTACGATTCTCTTCATTTGAAACTTCGTGTTCACCCTCGTGGACATTCTTCCCAAATAAAGTTACGCAAATAGGAGTCGACTATCGGCCTTAGTTCATTTTAATTAGATGTTTCATTTCCACTTCAGAAGTAACTTTCATAGGTAGAATTGGAATGGTTGAATGTTTATGAAACAAAAATCCCAATTCCATATTGTACTGAGAGAGATCGACGTTAAGCATGTTTTGTATATTATAGTACATTTTTGCAAACGATGTATTCCTTGTTATAAAAATTGCTTTAACCCTATCTCCTTCACTCTTCCATTTCCATTCCCACTGAGCATTTTCATTTATTTGAAATTCACCGAAATAACAAATTGGGACACATGCTGATACCATATCTGCCACAAATTAAAAATAAGGAATTAATATATAATTTTTAAATTGTTCATTTCATATTTAATTTAATTTTATCCTTTTAACAGTGAGTAATTTTTTTGGTTGAACCTTTGATAATTTTGTGAGATTTCAATATTCTAGCAGATGGAAGAAAAAATTTCTTTTTAACTGTATTGGGAAACTGATAAGCAAAATTGATTTTGAAATTTACGTGTGAAAGTGATTGAATTTATTTAAACTTTTAAGGGTATTATTGTCTTTCAAAGAATTAACATATTTTTGTAATTGTGGAACATTATAAGGGCACAATTGTCTTTTTCAACACAAGAGACCAATGTGGTAAATGCAAAAAAAAAAAAAAAAAATGGTCAAAG